ACAAATAAATTCTTGTTTTTTTTTTTTTTTTTTTTTTGGTATGAGGGATCGAACTCGGGATCTTGTGCTTGCGAGGCAGGCAGCAGCACCACTGAGCTAAATCCCCAGCCCGCCTATGATGATTTTTATTGAAATATGTCTCCATTTAATGGAGTAAAAAAACTTAATTTTACCACGGCCTCAGGGTTCATGACTTAAGAATTAATTTCAAATCATTTAGCAATTTCAAAGCTTGAAAATGTCAGAAGGAATTGAGACCAAGTTTGGCTAGGAATATTTAGCTGCTATAATTGGGGATTATAGCTACCCAGCATAAAGCATTTCGAAGGTTAAAATGTGATGCTAAAATGGAAGATCCTTAACCTTTTCAGTATGTCCACAAAAGTGTAAATTATACCGTCTGAATCCAGTGAAATTCTTTTGAGGGGAGAAGGACTACTGGAGAGGGAACCCAGGGGCTTTATGCTATACCACACCCCTTTTTCATTTTTTAAACAAGGTCTCCTTGAGTTGCTAAATTGCCCTGGCAGAGTTTGAACTTAAAATTTTTCTGCTCCCACCTCCTGGAGTACTAAATTATGCCCAGCCTGTGTGAAATTATTTATTCATTTTTTCTACTTTTGTTTTTACAGTTCATTTTTAAAAGATAGTTTATTTTCAAATAGATGCTTCGTAAAGAGACAATGTAAAAGTTAGGAACAGCCTCATAGTTATACCAGAAATTAAACAGATTTTCAGATTCCTATATGACAACTTAAATTGTAATGAGGAAGGCACCTATCAAATTAACAAACATGTATTTGAAACTTGATTTGTAACAGAAGGCCCTTCATTATTTATAAGACAAAGATGCACTATTAACTTTACAGCTGAGGGGTAGGGAGAATTAAGTAACTTGCTGAAGATTTCATTGCTCTTCATATATAAAAACACTGAGTAGACTACTTTTGTCTCTGTGTCTGGTTTCTTTCATATAGCAATCTGAAAATATATATAAATATACATGTATATAATATATATAACTTTTTGTACTGGGAATTGAACCCAGGGTATTCATACTGAGCTATACTTCCAGCCTTTTTTTTTTTTTTTTTAACTTTTTTTTTGTTTTTTTCTGGTACCAGGGATGGAACTCCGGACCTTGTGCTTATGAGGCAGGCGGTGAACCACTGAGCTAAATCCCCGGTCCAGACCCTTTCATTTTTTGATACAGGGTCTTGTTAAGTTGTCCAGGCTTGACTAAAATTTGCAGTCATCCTGATATTATGGGAGGCATGCACCACCACACCCAACTCCTACAGTAATACATATTGTTTTCAAGGTTCATGTCACAGTGTGTGTCAATTTTTAATTTCCTTTTATGGCTGAGTAATATTCCATTGTGTGCACATATCACTATCCATTAATTTCCATTTGTTTCTACTTTGAGTGTCAAAGAGTAATTTAACTACAAACATTCATTATTAGTTTTGTGTGGACCTGTTTTCATTTACATTCTTTGAAAACTTTAAAGAACTGCCACACTTTCCCCCAAAATGGCTGCACTATCTTTTGTTGTTGTTGTTTTGTTTTTTGTTTTGTTTCTGTGGTACCAGGAATCAAACTCAGGACCTTGGACTTGCTAGGCAGGCACAGTGCCACTGAGCCACATCCCCAGCCCTGGCTACAGTATTTTAACATTCCCAGCAACAGTGAATGGGGTCCCGAGTTTTTTCACATTCTTGCCAACACTTGTTATTTATTATCTGCCTCCGTGATCACAGCCTTCCTAGTGGGTATAAAGTAATATGTCATTGTGGCTGTGATTTGCATATCCCTGTAGCTAATGATATTGTGCATATTTTCATGTGCTTATTTGGAAAAATCTTCCCATCATTTGCCCTCTATATGTTATATGTCATTTTATTTTTGGGTATGATTTCTCTCTAAATATATTCTAGATATAATTCCCGTATCATCTATATATCATTTGCAAATATTTTCTCATATGTGGTATTCTTACACTTTTTTTTTTTTTTGATACCAGGGATAGAATTTGAGACCTTGTGCTTGGGAAGCAGGCAGCGGAACCACTCAGCTAAATCCCCGGCCCCTTTTTTTATTTATTTGAATTTTTTTGCTTCCTTTTTTGCTTTTTCAGACAGTGTCTTGCTGTGTAGTTCAAGCTGACTTGGAATTTGAAATCTGTCTCAGACTTCTAAGTGCTGGAATTACAGGGGTGTGCTACTATACACATCTGGATTTTAATTTTGTTGAAATGCTTACTTTAATTACTTTCATTTCGTTGCTGGGCTGAGGGGGCAGTGCTAGGGATTGGACCAGGCCCTCATACATGCTAGACAGATGCTCCATAACTGAGCTACACTCTCAACCTTTGTTACTTTTGCTTTTGGTTGTTATATCAAAAAGACTATTACTAGTGTGGTAGCACATACCTGTAATCCTAACTACTGGGAAGACTGAGACAGGAGGATTATGAATTCAGGGCGAGCCTGACCAACATAATGTTTTTCCCTGAAAATAAGATCTAACTGGAAAAATAAACCCTAGCATGATTTTTCAGTATGCTCATAATATAAGCTCTACCCTGAAAATAAGCCCCAGTTCAGATTGTCAGCCAGATGGATGCATTTAGTACATCCGTTGAATACATGACCGAAGTTACTGAGTAATAATATAATATTACTATAATTAAATAGAAATAAAATTGACAATACTTAAACTAAGTGATAATATAAATTACAGTGTAATTAAGTATTTGTAAATACCCAAGTTAGTATCTGGTTTTTTTTTCCTGAGGATAGAACTCAGGGCCATGCACTTCTGAGGCAGGTACAATGCCACTGAGCTAAATTACACCAGCCTGATGCCTTTTTTTTTAATTCATTAAGTTTATTGGTACATTTTAGGTAAAAATTATGATCACATTCATAATTGGGACTATGTACTTGGACAGGTCATATCTTGGTTCTTATTTTTTCCCATTCCTCTTCCCTTCTACCCCTCCACCCCTCCCTATTTACAAAAGCTTTGTTTCTGTTTTTTCCTTTTTCCATTTTTTTTCTTTCCCTTCTTTCCTTTGGCCCACTTCCCTTCCCTAGTTTCCCCATACATTTTGGTCCTACAGTTTCAGTTTCTGACACCAGAGAAACTATTTGGTATTTACACGTATGTCCTATTTATTTCAGTTAAAAGTATGGCCTCAAGGTGCATACGTTTAGCTATAAAGTCTGGAGTTTATGACCAAACAGTACTCCATTTTATAAAAACAAAACAAAAGAAAAACACATCTTTATCCATTCACCAGTTGATGGGCATTTGGGCTGTTTCCAAGATTTAGCTATTACAAACGGTGCCACTGTAAACATGGGTGTGCATATATCACTGTGGTATGATGCTTTTAATTCTTTCAGGAATATATCCAGAAGGGGAATAGCTGGGTCAAATGCTAGTTTTTTGAGGTATCTCCACTGGTTTCCATAGTGGTTGCACCAGTCTGCACTCCCACCAACAATAGAGAAGGGTCCCTTTTCTCCCCACAACCCCGCCAGCATTTGTTATTGGTTGATTTCTTGATAGCAGCTATTCTTATTTTTTGCATCTCTTGAATGCCCAGTGATATTGAACATTTTCATATGTTTATTTTCTGTTTCTGCTTCTTAGCCTGAGAAATGTAATGTAGTTATGTTTGAGATAATATAAATTACAATATAACTACTTATAAATACCCAAGTGGGTACCTTTGTTTTTTGTTGTTGTTGTTGTTTGTATGTTTTGAGACAGGGTCTCACTATGTAGTTGAGACTGACCTGGAACTCACAATGTAGCCCAGGCTGGTCTCAAACTTGCAGCAATCTTCCTGCCTCAGCCTCCCGAGTGCTGGGATTACAGGCCTGTGCCACCATGCCCGGCTCTAAGTGAGTACCTTTGGATGAGAGGTTAATGGCTGTTTAAACAGATAAGTTGGAGACTTATTGCTGAATGACCAATCAGTACAAGTAAATCCCTCCAAGCACACTTGATAATGAAGGGATGTGGTTGTGTCTGATATGAATACACATAATTCAGCATATCTGAGTTGTAATAAATTTATTTAATATATTCATGTAAAATAAACATTTTCTGAATCTTGGTGCCTGCAATCTTTCATCTCTTTTGTGGGGACCGTCTGTGTGTGTGTGTGTGTGTGTGTGTGTGTGTGTGTGTGATACCAGGGATCAAACTCAGAACCTTGCACTTGCCAGGCAGGCATGGCACCACTGAGCTACCTTCCGAGCTGGGACCATCATTATTAACTGTCATCATTTTTGTTGCCACTCTTGTCTCATAAGCCTTCAACTAACACTTGATTTAATGGAAACTGTGAAACCAACCTTCAAGAGGCCATGACTTAGGGGAAGATTCATGGATAAAATCACTGATGGCTGTGTTATGTTTCGATGTCCCCCTAAAATCTCATGTGGATGAGGTGGGGCTTTCTTTTTCAGAGGTGGCTGAAGCTGGAATGTGTGATGCTGGGATAAGGGTATGTGATTATCAAACCAGTACACGTGTGTGGTTGGTGTGGCGCCACCCTAATCCCCATAGTCTAGATGGGGTTAAAGGGGAGAAAGATACTTGTTAAGGTCTCTCTTGCTTTTGTTGTCTTCTGCCACCATGAACTGTTGCCCATCTGCCAAGCTGCCTTGCCACAGAGCCAATTTATGGACTAAAACCTGTTCAAGCTGTGAGATAAATAAACCTTTTCTCTTTTAAGTTTGGGTGTTGGGTATTTTGTCTAAGCAAGGAAAGAAAGGTAACTAACAAAGTTGCCAATGCACTGTGAACAGGCTACGTGGACAAGAAGTGCTCATTTAAGGAGAACTCTGTTGCTGGACGTGAGAGATTGGGGCCAGTAGTTCTTCAGGAAATGGAATCCAAAGAAATTCAGGCTAGAACTTGGGGTTTAGAGAGTTATGATGATATTCTGCAAGATCAGATGACTATTTGAATATAGATTTTTGTGCATTAATGTACGAATAAATGTAGATACTATACATGAAAGATTGATGTACAAGAGAAAATAACACATCCCCTGAAAATAAACCCTATTGCATCTTTTGGAGCAAAAATTAATGTAAAACCCAGTCCTTTTTTTTTTTCTTTTGCAGAAATAGCAACATACTGTCTTGGAAAAAAATAAATAGCATTGCTTAGCAGGAGGTCACAAAGACTTCTACCTATGTTTTTCCTAAGATTTCATGGTTTTAGCTCATTTTTCAGTATTTATACCATAATCTCTTAACTTTATTCTGAAATATTTTTTTCTTTTTTAAAGTGTTTTTATTAGTACCTGTTTGCAGTGCATAACGACTGCATTCATTGTGAGGAGTTAGTGCACGTACATAGCGCATCTCAGTTCTTTTTACTTCCCCTTCCTCCTCCTTCCCTTTGGAAATAATTTTAAACTTACAGATAAATTGGAAAGATAGTGAAGAGTTCTAGTCTACCTTTTTTCACATAACCATAGGATGATTATCAAAACTAAGAAAGTAGCATTTGCCAGGCATGGTGGCGCACACCTGTAATCCCAGCACTAGGGAGGCTGAGGCAGGAGGATCCCTGTGAGTTCCAGACCAGCCTGGGCTACATAGTGAGTTCCAGGTCAGTCCCAACTACATAGAGAGACGCTGTCTCAAAAAAATAAAATAAAATAAAAAATAAAGAAACTAGCCTTGATGAACCACTGCTATTTAAACTACAGACTTTATTCCAATTTCTTACGTTTCCAGCATCAGCTCCAGAGCACATCGTACTCTTCTTCAGTGCGGCCTCATCATGTTTTCTCTTCTTGTCTGACATCACCTGGACACCTGTGATTCGCACTTTTCTGGCATTTTGCGGAAGGTCTCTAAATCTGAGCTTGTGATCTGCCATGTTTAGGTGGAGGGAGTAAACCATGGAGGTGATGCATCTTCCCACATTGGATTAAGGGTCTGTGTACCCATTGTCTTGGTGGTGGTGTGTCAACCTGATCACTTGATGAAGTATTATCCACCATATTCTCACCATAAAGCTAACAGGTTTTTTTTGTTTGTTTGTTTGTTTTGTGGTACCAGGGATTGAACTCAGGTCATTGTGCTTGTGAGGCAGGTGGCAGAACCACTGAGCTAAGTAGTTCTTTTGTTTGTTTGTTTTAAATAATAGAAGGGCTGGGGATTTGGCTCAGTGGTTCTGCCACCTGCCTTGCAAGTGCAAGGACCAGAGTTTGATCCCCAATACCAAAAAAAAAAAAAAAAATTTTTTTTAAGTTAGGGGCCAGGGACATAGCTCAGTGTCATAGTGCCTGCCTGGCCAGCATAAGGTCCTGAGTTTGATCCCCAGTACCAAAAAAAATTTTTTAATTAAAAAAATAAAATAGCTAAGATTAATGCCAGCCGTGGTTGCTCACAGTTATAATCCCAGCACTTGGGAGGCTGAAGCAGTAGGATCATCTCAAGTTCAAGGCCTGCCTGGACTACATAGTGAAACCCTGTCTCATAAAAACAAGAACAAAAAAATTAAGATTGAGTAAAGTTTATGAAAAGTGTTACTGAATGTTCATCTAAGAAACAGTATGACCTACTTCCATTTCCTATATATCACTCATTAAGAATAATCAGTATACATGCTTTGTTTGGTTTAAGAAAATTGATTTTTAAAATATGTTCATAATTTTTTGCAGCATATCGTTGCCTTCAAACCTTAAAATTTAATATTCTACCTCTGTGTGCTGCAAGATGGTCTTCAACTTCTATTGTACCTCGGATTACAACCCACTATACTGTTTATCCCCGGGATAAGGACAAGCGATGGGAAGGTAAATAATTTGTGTAAAAGTTGGAGAATTTTCTCAATACTTGTTTTCTTTTGTGGAAGGGGATATTTTGTTTTTTATATTTTAAAAACATCTAATATGACTTTCACAAATATATTACATATTACTAATTAGATAAGCAAATATTTACTAAATTTATAATAATCTCATAACCAAAAGTTGGTTTAAGAAGATTTGCCCTCAAACAGACATAAGAATATATCAAACTAATATAATAAAATACTAGTATAATTATGTAAAACATTAGGAGAATTTCTAGAAATAGCACTCTAAAGCACAGTGGAGAATTTCTTCATCACCATGTGATTCATGTCGTATTAGTTCCTGACTTTTATTTTTTTGTGACACCGTTCCCTCGAAGGAGTGAGCATGGAGAGATTTGCAGAAGAGGCAGATGTGGTGATCGTTGGTGCGGGCCCCGCAGGGCTCTCTGCTGCCATCCGCCTGAAGCAGTTAGCTGCAGAGCACGGAAAGGACATCCGCGTGTGTCTGGTGGAGAAAGCTGCTCAGATAGGAGCTCACACACTCTCAGGAGCTTGCCTTGACCCAGGGGCTTTTAAAGAGCTCTTTCCAGACTGGAAGGAGAAGGGGGTATGAAACATTTCTTCTTATACAAATTCTAACCTTTGCTGTAACTCTCTTCCCAAAGTACTGGAGTAGAAGGAACCCTTCTCATGGAATTCTGACTTTTAGGGGTAATTATATATATTTATTTTTATTTATTTAAAAAGAGCAAAAGGGCTTGGGATTTTGCTCAGTGGTTCTGCCACCCACCCGCCTTGTGAGCGCAAGGACCCAAGTTCAATCCCCTGTACCAGGAAAAAATAAATAAATAACAAAATAAGATACAAAATAGATCCAGTGATGAATGTAACTACTGTATACCTAAAAAGCACCAATAAACGCAATGAGAAAAAAAATACAAGATAGAGGTTATACATCTATAGGATAATGTTTTGCCCCTTATCTACTTATTTGTTTATTTATTTATTTATTTATTGGTATTGGGGATCAAACTTGGGCCCTTGCTCTTGCAAGGCAGGCAGCAGAACCACTAAGCCAAATCTCCGGCCCTCACTTTTCCTTTTTGTCTCCAAAGTAAATTTAAGGTTTTTTAAAAATTTATATTTACCAATATGAGTTAAAACCTTTTATTTGTTTCTGTTCTAGGCTCCACTTAATACTCCAGTAACAGAAGACAGATTCGGAATTTTAACAGAGAAATACAGAATTCCTGTGCCAATTCTTCCAGGTAGAATATGATGACTAGTCATAGAGCTATGGAATGCTGCAGCTTGAGGGAACTTCATTTCAAATGGAGAAATCCCCTTCTTTACAAATGAGAAAGAAGAGCCCACAGATTTGGAGGATTTATCCAGAGTTATACACCTAACTGTGGGAAAGCAGAACTAGAAGTCCGTTCTTAGCAGTAGCCTTATAAGCCAACTGGGAATTTTTAATTTAATAAATTAGTGCACAGCAAAGGAAACAAGCAGCATGAAGAAAAGATAACTACAAAATAGGGAAATTTTGCCAGCTACTGCTCAGAGGAGTAATATCTAAAATGTATAAATAACAAAAAAATTAGACTCCCCAAAATAAAAGACTCATTGAAAAAAGGAGCACTTGTATAGAATAGACAGTTCTTGAAAGAATTGCAAATGGCCAATAAATACATGAAAAAATGTTCGACATCTCTGGCCATCAGAGAAATGCAAATCAAAACAACACTGAGAATCTATCTTATTCCAGAAAGAGTGGCTGTCATCAAGAAATCAAATAACAAAATAAAAAGAAATCAAATAACATAGGCTGCAGGGTAAAAGGATCTGGTCTACACTGTTGGTAGGAATGTAAACTAGTAAAATCAGTCTGGAAATTAAACTCAACTAAAAATAGGGGGCCAGAGATTTAGCTCAGTGGTGCCACACCTGCCTTGCAAGTGCAAGGTCCTGAGTTCAATCCCCAGTACCGGGGGAAAATAAAAACTAAAAATAGAAATTCCATTTGACCCAGTTAGTCCCCTTCTCGATATCTTTTGAAGAGTTAATCCATTATATTAATAGGCATGCCCATATTTATAGCAGCACAACTCATATAATAGCTAAATCTTGGAAGTTGGCTGTGTCCATCAACACAGTTGAATGGATAAAGAAAATGTATTTATACACAATGGAGTACTAAGCCATAAATTTCAGCCATATGTAGGAAAATGGATACACCTTGAAATCATTTTGTTTGTTTTTGTTTTGGTACTCAGGACCTTGCACTTTCCAGGCAGGTGTGGTGCCACTGAGCTAAATCCCGGCCCCACCTTGAAATCATAATGTTAAGAAAAATGAGTCAGAGTCTTTCATCAAATGTTAAATTTGTTGTCATAACAGGGTTTATTCTGGAGTAAAACCAGACAGATACAGTGAATTTAAAAAGGTCATTTTTGCCAGGCAGGGTGGTGCATTGCTGTAACTCCAACACTTGTTAGGCTAAGGCAGGAGGATAGCCACAAGTTTGAGGCTGGCCTGGGTTACATACAGGCCAGCATGAACTGACCATGTCACAAGATAAACGCAAAATGTTCATTCCTAAAAGACATGTCCTCGGGATTCACCAAAGATTTCCTGCTGCAAAGAACTCTCACAATGTAATACTGTGGTAAATTATTTAATCAAATCTCACAGTGTCCTCCATTCATATGAAGAATAAGTCAGTCTCTATCCAGGATGATACTTGTGTCTTGCATACTGCAGAATACTGTAATTACAAGTTAAACTATGTTGGGCTGGAAAAAAAAAACAAAACAAGTTAAAGTGTGTTAACATTGATGATATATGTCAAAGATGGAAGGATATTTGCAAATGGCCAAATACATTTGGCTTGTAAAACAAAAAAAAAAGAAAAAGAGGTCATACACACAAGCTTAACACATGGTTTTTCTCTTGTATGAGAAACCCAGAGTATACATAATGTAAAGCGCAAAATAGGAGATACATAATAGCATGTAAGGATATAGATCTTTTGCAAATGGGAAAAGGCCCAAGAGATGAGGGGAGGGGAGGGAGGGAGAGGGAAGTAAAATGAGTTAACATTATATATACACACCGGCCACCCATAGCGAGCTTAATCATTATGTACGGCAAATTTGTGCTAATAAAATAATAAATTAGAACTCCAAGCCACATTTACAAAATACAAGTTGAAATTATGACCATCAAGATAGCATGTACATTTATATAGAAATACACACTGATTTAGAATTTTAATTGAGATTTTATCAATAAAGTCAGATTTTCAAATGAAGCATGTATTTGTAGGTCTTCCAATGAACAATCATGGCAACTACATTGTACGGCTGGGACATTTAGTGAGCTGGATGGGAGAACAAGCCGAAGCCCTCGGTGTTGAAGTGTACCCTGGTTATGCTGCTGCCGAGGTGTGTATAGTTCACTTAATGTTTTTGGCACATAATCTCTTTCATTTGAAGGTAGAGTAAGAATTTTACAGAAATAAAATATTTCAGAAAAGCCATATGATTTTAGAATCAACATTAAAGGGAACTTTAAAAAGATCTCCATTGTTGGGAGTGCAGACTGGTGCAACCACTATGGAAATCAATATGGAGATACCTCAAAGAGCTTGGACTGGAGGTTCCATTTGACCCAGCCATCCCTCTGCTGGGTATCTTTCCAAGAGAACTAAAAGAATCATATCACAGAGAAGTATGTGCACCCATGTTTATAGCAGCACAGTTTGTAATAGCTAAATCTTGGAAACAGCCCATTTGCCCATCCGTTGGAAACTGGATAAAGAAGTTGTGGTTTTTCTATAAAATGGAATATTACTCAGCCATAAAGAACGAGAAAATAGATTCATTCATAGGAAAATGGATACATATTGAAGATATACTCCTAAGTGAAATAAATAAGTCACACGTGTGTAAATATCGAATAGTTTCTCTGGTGTGAATAATCTGCAACAGTGCATAAGATCCTAATAAGATTACTGACATTTAGAAATGGGAAGAAATGAGCTAAAGGTGTAGGGAAGGTGGGATGGGTAGGGGAAGAGTAAAAAGGGAAAAGAAAAACATGTGAGAGAATGAAAAGATGAAAATAAAGTGTTTGTAGATGGGGAGGGGAGGAGGGGCTGAAGGGAGGGCAGAGGTAAGGGGAAAAAATGAGAATCAAGACTTGTCATGTAAAGGTACAAGATCCCAACAATGAATGTAACTGTACTGTATCCCTAAAATGTACCAATAAACTCAATTAAAGCTGAAAAAAAAAATAAATACATGTTGACTTTTTCAAAAAAAAAAAAAAAAGATCTCATCCAAGGTGTGCTTGAATTTCTTACATTGTACCCCATGGTGATTTTCCAGATTATAAGGCACACAGAATCCTCTTACCTGATGAGCTGTTTGGAGGACTATTGGCAGTCTTTTCCTTATGCTGAGTGGGAGTTACCTACTGTTTTATACTACACAGAACAAATCTATGGCTTCTTCTCAGGACATTTCTCCAGTTAAAATTACCCTGTGCTGTTTCCTTCTCCATTTTCACTCTGGAGTTTTTTCTTTCCCTGGCTAAATATTCTCATTTCTTTCAAATATCGTGTTTTATAATTTGAGCTCCTTCAATATTCTTATTACATTCTTCCACATGCATTCCTTTTTATCTCCTTTATAAAGTAATGACCAAAATGATTAAATTACTTCAAGCCTATCACAAATCCTCTTATGATGAGCTGTTTGGAGGACTATTGGCAGTCTTTTCCTTATGCTGAGTGGGAGTTACCTACTGTTTTATACTACACAGAACAAATCTATGGCTTCTTCTCAGGACATTTCTCCAGTTAAAATTACCCTGTGCTGTTTCCTTCTCCATTTTCACTCTGGAGTTTTTTCTTTCCCTGGCTAAATATTCTCATTTCTTTCAAATATCGTGTTTTATAATTTGAGCTCCTTCAATATTCTTATTACATTCTTCCACATGCATTCCTTTTTATCTCCTTTATAAAGTAATGACCAAAATGATTAAATTACTTCAAGCCTATCACCTTCCTCGTTCTAGAAACTTCTTCCAAAGTTTTTTCAGTTCTCTTAGTAAACATTTGGCAACCGTATCACACTTGTCATTATGTTTCTTTGGGAAAATTATTAAAAATAAAATTACCAGGCTGGGGATTTAGCTCAGTGGTTCTGCTGCCTGCCTTGCAAGCGCAAGGATCCAAGTTCGATCCCCAGTACCAAAAAAAATAAAATAAAATAAAATTACCAACTCAGTAAAATCCTCTCTACAAATTGTAAAGAAGAATAAAACAAGTTTATTATTGAATAAGTATTAAACCAATAAAGAAATTTCACAGGCCAGGAAAGAAATCTGTCTTTTAAATAACCAGGCAGAGTCTATTACATACTGTGAATTAACTTCGCCTAAAGGAAAAACAATAATTGCTTTTTCTTTGGTAAGCAAGAAGTTACAGATTGGAGCCAGGCAGCTAGCCCAGACTCCATACGACGGAAGCCAGGATGGTGGAGGGTTCCCCATGGCTGTTCAAGGCATTCCTGAGACATAGAACTGAGCTTTCTTACAGTGTCCCATGTGTCCCAGAAAGACAGAAAGGATTTGCGGTCAGAACCTGGCTGGCGGACATAATTAGAAGGAGGGAACAGTGATCTTTTGTCTTTGGCATCAGAAAATATTCAAAAATTTAAAGATGTTTCTATCCTGACTGTACGTAAGTGAAAACCCCTAAGTCTTCTGTTTATGTGCTGCTCTGAATATGTTTTCCCAGCATGTGGGATTTTGTATTTCTCCTTGTTAAACTTTCTTGACTGGGGTCAGCGTCAAAGTCACAGGTAGGTAGTTTGTAGAATCCCTGATTTTCACTCGAGTATAGACATCTGCGCTGGAAGTCTCTTGCACTTTCTTCTCTCCCCAGATCATTGGCTGTTTGCTTGTTCTTTGCTCTGGTGCTGAGACGGACATGGTTGAGGTTCTTCCTTTTCACCCATGCTATTAATCTTGTTCCACCTTTTCGTGGCCAGCGCCCCTTGTCATTGACATGCTGCTCGTGTCCGTTACCGTATGTGCTTTCTGTCCAGAGCATTTCTTCCTGTCAGGAATCAGATGGGTTAAAAAGCATTGCTGCTTCTCATCATCAGAATTACTTTTCTCTTTTCTTCCAGAAATAAACTGTATCCACCAGTGCACTATCGGTCTCTGTTGTTTTATATTTTGAGATCTTAATTCGAGACACAAACTTTCTTGACACTTAAATTCCATTTGTGTTCTTCATTTGTTACAGTTTTGTTTTCAAATGTGTTAGACAAGATTTGCTCTTTGAAAAGAGCACTTGTTTCTGTGATACCCTCTCCTACCCCTCCTGCAGTCCTTGTCAGGGTTGTGGCATTGTTTTAATTTCCAGCAGTTTGACTTGTCTCATACTCCACAAGGGACTACCTTGAAAGCATATCTCATTTTACCTTAATTTCAAAGCCTGTACTTCTGTTTCCCAGAGAAGTGTTCCATTTGTAAGAAACCTGTTTCTTTTCAAACAGATTAGTATGAATCTTGAAGTGATAAGTTGTTTTTATCATTTTCAGGTGCTTTTCCATGAAGATGGTAGTGTAAAAGGAATTGCCACCAACGATGTAGGAATACAGAAGGATGGTGCCCCGAAGGTAATTATCTTTTGTTGTGTGTTTAGTAAACTGACAGACAAAAAAAAGAAAGAACCAGTTGAGACTCATGTAGGTCTTGCTCCAAAACTGTGAGTTAATTATGTGGATTTTAGAATAAATAGGGAATTTTTCTGTTGCTAAAAATACAGAAGCAATTTTGAGTTTAGCGTGATTTAGACAACGTGTTTGAGAATAATTGTTCAGCCAGGTGTGGTGGTAGATGCTTGTATTCCCAGCACTCTGGGAGGCTGAAGCAGGAGAATCACAAGTTCAAATTCTGCTGGGACAACTTAGCAAACTTTGTCTAAAAATAAAAAGGGCTGGGCTGTAGCTCAGAGTGAAGGCCCTGGATTCCATCCTTAGTACCACACAATCATATAAACAGTCAAACTTTTATTTCACTCAGTGAGGTAATCAAGAAGCTATTACTAAAACTTGCAGACATGTATTGTTCATCGGTGAACTGCGCTGCCACCTCCACAGTTTTTGTTCCTGTGGACACGAGTCCGATTGTTACTAGTAGGTAAATGCTGGTTGACTGTGACCTGATTGTAACAGATCTTTAGGTTGATATAAAACTGCTTGCCTCTGTCTCATTCAAAATGTAAGCCTGAGGGCCGGGGATTTAGCTCAGCGGTTCGGTGGCCTGCCTTTCAAGTGCAAGGACCTGAGTTTAATCCCCGGTATCCCCCCAAAAAAACCAAAATGTAAGCCTGAATAGTTTTCATAATTTGTATTTTTGGATCTGAAAAAAAAAAGCCATGAGAATATACAGCTCTCACCTCTGGAGTTTCTTGGAAAAGACACAAAAGCTAGTTTGCTTTCCTATAACAAAAATAAAACAAATCATAATGAATTATCTGTTTATTTGCTTATTTGATTTTCCAACTAGATCATAAACTTAATGAGGAGAGTCTTACGGAAGGTCACCCCAGGGCCTGGCACAGTGCCAGGTACAGTCTTAGGCGTCAGGAAGTACCCAGTAGTAGTGTTCCCTCTTCTCTGCAACTCTCAGACAAACTTAAGAATCTAGGCTGCTCCTGTGTGTCTCCCTGCTTCTTACTACTTCCTGCTCAGAAACAGGGCCACGCTGAGGCGTACCTGCTCCAGGGGCCCCCCTGGTAGTCAGCTACTGCAGGTTCAGGGAGAGGTGCACATGTCCTGTGGGAGGCAGTGGAAGCTGTTTCTTACAAGCCCCAGGGATTCTGAGGCCTCGCCTATTGTCACATAATGATAAGGGAATATTGTTTCTCCTACATGATGGTAGTTTCTTTATTATGACAATTATTAGTTATGAAATTCATAAATGTTACAATTTACAAATAGCTTATTTACTATCACAACAAAATTCACACATTCTTCCATCTTGATATTTTTGTGTTGTTTCATTTTGTTCAGATTTTTTGTGTGTTCTGTGGTTTGTGGACCCAGCTACTTAGGAGGCTGAGGCAAGCGAAGCTCTTGTGCCCCTGCAGTGGAGCACATCCGGGACAGCTCCATGAGATACTGCCTCTAAGCAACAGGAATCAGGGACGTCTTACTGTCCCAGCGCCGATTCTGAGCTTTTAAAGAATTCTTTCAGGAGCACGTGTATGTAGTGGAGAAAAGCAAGGCTCCTGGGATGGACCGTGTCATTCCGTGACTGTTTACCTCGCTGTGGTTAGGGTTCTGCCCCCTGGTGCCGCTCCGATCAGCCCCAGAGGACCCCAGCTCTCCACCCGCAGTCAGTCCCATCTTCTCAGGCTTGAACCCGTGGAACCCATCGCGTATCCACATATGCGTAAGTGGGTTATGGATACGTGTTTCACAAGGAAAACAGAAGTTACCAGTAAACACCTGAAAGACACTCAAACTCTAGCAACCAAAGGCATTAAGTTAATAACGAAGCAATTCTTACATGTACACTGAAAATACTTAGCGACAAGGATATTAGATACAAACAATGTAATAAACAGTGAAACAACCTTATTGTTCGACTGTTCAAATTTGGTTGAAAAATTATGGGAATCTGCTTAAGCCTTTAAAGTGAATGCTTTATTTGGTGTATATTGCTTTAGGCAAATCACTTTATTATATGAAAACAATTTTAAAACAGTATATCTGTGTAAAGTTATTGTATGAATGTATACCTGCTTATACGTAGATACATAGAAACATGACTAGAAAAACATCAAGAAAAACATACATTTCATAAGAAATTCTTCTGATTATTCCCAATTCTTTTATTCAGTAACTTTTTTTTTTTCAGTCTGAGGATTAAACCCAGGGCCTTCACACTGAGCTATACCCCTAGCCCTTTTTTGCATTTTTCATTTTAAGACAAGGTCTCAGTAAGTTGCCCAGACTAGGATTGAAACTTGGATCCTCCTGCCTCAGCCTCCCAGAGTGCTACAATATAGTCATGTGCCATCACACTTGCAGTACCCTTATTGAGTACTGCAAAGGAAAGAGAGCAAATTTCTCATTGTCACTCTTTTATAGTAGGAAAAAACATTTCAGTTTTACAATATTGTAGGTTAAACATAGGAAAAAGTGAAGAAAGCATAATGTTAAGTGAAATAAGACACAGAAAGGTAAATGTCACATGGTTTCTCTGAAAAAACCTAAAATACAAGTGAATTAAGTGAAATAGAAGAGAGATGGTGGGAACAGAAAGGCAGGTTTGTGGGTGGTGGGTGAGGAGACGGCCAGGGTAGAGTAGGAAGGGTCCGGAGCCCCGTCTTCACAGACATGACTAGGGTGCATCTCAAGTGCATGCCACAAGACAGCAGAGAGGCGAGTAGCTGGAGAGCGTGTTTGGGGTGGTCCTGTTTGTGTTAAAAGGGTGTAAACAGCCAGCATACAGTTTTGTGTCTGTAGAAATATTTTGCATAATTCACAAGAAAGTGTTTTTGGCTTCCAGTGGTAAGGCTAGAAAATCAAAAACAAACGTTTTCATTGTAGAACAGGTTTGTTTTGTTTTGTTTATCTTGAGCATGCTTTATTTGCTTTTATACACATTACAGAATTTAAATTAGATTCCACTTGAAGCAGTATACTTAGGATCTTCAGCAACTTAAAACTGACCAGAATGCGAGTACGTTTTAAGTTGTCGGATGTTGCCATTTAACGTGGTTTTTGCTTTTTAGATGACATTTGAGAGAGGATTGGAACTCCATGCCAAAGTCACGATCTTTGCAGAGGGTTGCCACGGACACCTGGCCAAGCAGCTCTACAAGACTTTCGACTTGAGGGCCAATTGTGATACCCAGACCTATGGGATTGGACTGAAGGAGGTATCCTCACTTGTTAAGTTTTGTTTGTTTGTTTGTTTGGTTTTGGTTTTGGTTTTTTGTTTTGGTTTTTTGAGACAGGGTCTCACTATGTAGTTGAGACTGACCTGGAACTCACTGTGTAGCCCAGGCTGGTCTCAAACTCACAACGATCCTCCTGCCTCAGCCTCCCGAGTGCTGGGATCACAGGTGTGCGCCACCACACCTGGCTTTGTTAGTTTTTATTTTGAAAGATAGGACTTAAACTAATTTTTATTGTCATGTAGCAAACTCACAACGCCTCCTGCCTCAGCCTCCCGAGTGCTGGGATCACAGGTGTGCGCCACCACACCTGGCTTTGTTAGTTTTTATTTTGAAAGATAGGACTTAAACTAATTTTTATTGTCATGTAGCATATAATTTTAATTTAATTTTACAATTATGTTTTTCACTGACTGATTTGAAGTGGTCATTATAACTAAAAATATTTGATATATTTTTCCAAAAGGCTAGGAAATATTGATCAAATTATTACATTTTTTTCTACATCTTGGAATTGTTTTATCAAATGTTGCTTGCTGTGAGTCTTGACCTTTTTTAGCAGACTAATGCTCTCTGCCTAGTGGTATTGGACCTATTATCTGTATGCTGTCTGTGGATGGTCACACATCCCACATAGAAGTATTTATTTAAAATTGTAATATGGGGGCCGGGGGTTAAGCTCAGTGGTGACACCACTTGCCCCACAAGTGCCAGGTCCTAAGTTCAATCCCCAGTACACCGTCGCCCAAATAAATAAATAAATCAATAAAAATTGTAATGTGGCTGGTCATGGTGGTGCCCCTTGTAATCCCAGTACTCAGGAGGCTGAAGCTGGAGGGTGGCCACAAGTTTGAGGCCAGCCTGGGCTACACAGTGAGTTTAAGGCCAACCTGAACTACATGGCGAGACTCTTATCTCAAAAAAAAAACCCAAAAAACTAAATTAAATTGTAATAAAGATCATTTAGTTTATGGAATACTCAACATGGTATATTGATCTTTAATCTAAAATGTCACTGGGATAAATTTTGTATATTTTCTCAGTTATCTATTCTTTAGTCTATTTTCCTAAATCTTATGCTTATTACAGTGCTAAATTTTCATTATATCCCCTTTCTTAAATGATTGTTAAGGACTAAGGATACGGCTCAGTGGTAAAGCACTTGCCTGGTATGTGTTAGGCCTGGGGTTCAATCCCCATCACCAAAACGTACATCCATATATAAAATATTTCTCCAGGCATGGTGACACACTCTTGTAATCCCAGCACTCTGTGAGGCTGAGGCAGGAGGATTGCAAGTTCAAACCTCAAGTTACATCAAAGTTTTGTCCCGGGATTTGGCTCAGTGGTTCTGCTGCCTGCTGTGAAAGCACAAGGGCCCGAATTTATCCCAGGTACCAAAAAAGAAAAAAGAAATAAACTTTTATTTGATACATGAAGGAATTTTTTTTGTGTGTTGTTCGTATCAGAGTTTTCACTCGTAATTAATGCTGTAGAACTCTTTTGCTTTCTAGTTGTGGATCATTGATGAACAGAAGTGGAAGCCTGGGCGGGTGGACCACACTGTCGGCTGGCCCCTGGATAGACACACATACGGAGGCTCCTTCCTGTACCACCTCAATGAAGGGGAGCCCCTCGTGGCTCTGGGCTTCGTGGTAAGTCACAGCCCCATTCTGAAGCACTGCGGGGGACCCCGGGGCTGTAAAACAAGGACTTTGGAATCTGGAGAGTGTAAAAAGCTTTTCGTGGAAAGCTTACTTCCTAATTATATCAGTATGTAAAGTGCTTATGGCTACTGGAGACTTTGGCCGACGTAAAACACATCGCTATTGTGCCTGTGCTGCTCCTGGTCCTGGGCGTTCCATGCCAGCCCATCACGTCCGTCACCTTGATGAGGAAGCTGGAGTCCAAACAGGTTAAACAGCTGTCCCAGTGCACACTGAGTGAAGGAACTAGGCCCAGGGCAGAGCCCAGTCCCAGTGACGCGAGCACAGGCAGACGTCCTAGGAACAAGCCGCTCTTTCTCGGCTGTGGTAAATTACATGTGGAGCACTGCAGGGAGTGGAAAGATGAGTTTCTGGAGCAACGGGGGCCGTGTTGCGGCCGGCTTTCTGCACAGCGCATGGAGTGGGCACGCTCTCGGTGTTTGCCCCCAGAACGGCGTTCAGTGCGTAACCTTAGGGTGTCTTAGTGGAAAACCAGGAAGAAGCCATGGTAATTCATTTATATACTGTGGAAATGTCTTGTAAAATGTACCCTTCTGTTTCATGTCCTCTTCATGAATATGATTTTACGTTCATTTTATTTTGTCATAAGTGGTACTATAGTATAGATTTTTAGTTTTTTTCTGTAGTTGATTTTAATGAATGAATAATACATCTCCTTTTGTAAAAACATAATCTGAGACACATACAGTTTTTTTTTTCAATTTTTTGAAGTAAAGTCTTGCTGTATAATCCAGGCTGGCTTTGAACTCACTGTGTAGTCCATGTTGGCCTCGAACTCATGGAACCTTCCTGCCTCAGCCCCTCTGCTGGGATTATAGAGCTATACCACCACACCTGACTCCTACACTTGCTTTTCTAATTTGTATTTTGATTTTCATAGCATAATATGTTAATATATTCTCAATTTTTGAGCTAGGCATGGTGGCGCACACCTGTAATCCCAGCACCCGCGAGGCTGAGGCAGGAGGGCTGCTGTACATGTAGCCTGGACTACCTAGTGAGTTAAAGGCCAGCCCGGATTAGCAAGACAGCATCTCAAAAAGACCAAAAGAAAGGGCCAGGGATTTAGCCCGCGCCTGCCTGGAAAGTGCAAGGTCCTGAGTTTGATCCCTGGTACCAAAAAGAAAAAAAAAGACCAAAAAAAAAGTCTCAATTTTTAAACTTCTGTTGATTATAAACATAGTGTCTTTGTTTACCCTTTCTTTTGCATGCAGATTTTATATGGTTATTTATTTAAATTTCCCTTGCTGTGTATATTTCAACAAATACTATTTAAGGTACACATTTCTTAATAAAGTCGCTTAGCTTTAATTTGAAATAAAAATTCCTAATTGTATAAAAATGTCAATTTTAAATGTAAACCTTTTAAGGTTGGTCTGGACTACCAAAATCCCTACCTGAGTCCCTTTAGAGAGTTCCAAAGGTGGAAACACCACCCCAGCATTCAGCCAACCCTGGAAGGTGGAAAAAGGATTGCCTACGGAGCCAGAGCTCTCAATGAAGGTGGCCTTCAGGTAAGTCACTGAGCTTTTTAAAAAAGTCCTTTTTTTAATGATAAATTCAGAATTGAAAATGTAATAAAACCAGTTCAGTAAAGAATAGGAAATTACCCATAGGAAGAAAATTGGTGGAATTAAAGTGCCTAGTAGTTATAAAAGTATATATACAGTAACTGAATTACACCATAAGCTTAGTTTTTCCTAAAAAAAACTTGATCTCAGAGATAAAGTTGTTAAGGCCAAGGATCTGCCTCATAAGCTCAAGGTCCTGTGTTCAATCCCTGGTACCAGAAAAAGTAAAAAAAAAAAAAAAAAAAAAAGAAAAATTTGTGAGCTTTGTTTAATGAGTGAGTTCATATTTCCCCTTGCTCCTTAATGGCTCAGAAACTAAAAGGCAAATTTTATTCCAACTGACGATATTATCCATTCTTTTTTTGTTTTTTTTCAAAAATTTTTTTTCTTTTTATTGAGTTTATTGGTACAATCTAGGTATACAGTACAATTACATTCATCATTGGGATTCTGTACCTTTACATAATAGGTCTTGATTCTCATTTTTTCCCCTTGCCTTAATGGCTCAGAAACTAAAAGGCAAATTTTATTCCAACTGACGATATTATCCATTCTTTTTTTGTTTTTTTTCAAAAATTTTTTTTCTTTTTATTGAGTTTATTGGTACAATCTAGGTATACAGTACACATACATTCATCATTGGGATTCTGTACCTTTACATAATAGGTCTTGATTCTCATTTTTTCCCCTTGTCCCTGCCCTCCCTTTACCCCCTCCTCCCCTCCCCATTTA